TATATATACGCATATAAATTTTTCAAAATGTCTTTGTTAATATGACAACATATTTATTATTGTAGTTATATATATATATATTTAATTCTTTTTCGTATATGCTAGTGATACAATATATTTAAAAATATGGATTCAACAATAAGTAAATTAAAATATTGACAAACGTAATTATAAACTTAAAAAAAAAAATTGTATCACATAAGCTATTAAGAGAACATCTATCGGATTAAGTAAAGTAGGAATAATAAAGTTAAATCTCAAAATTTTTCGGGTAAAAATTGAAAATTACGACAAGAGTTTTATATGATTATTTTTTTTTAGAAATAAATCACGAAAAGATTTTGATTGGTTTTTAAAGAACTAAAATAGTTAACAATTTTAAAAAAATTTAACCTAGTTTTTGCAAATGAATTGGTGTACATGAAGCTATATTCCTGAGACGTGCCAGAAATTAAGTTTATCGGTGAAAATGGTTATTGAATGATATAATTCACCTGTTATAGGAAGCTCTACAACCAAATCTAATCAAATTTTTTGTATTGATTTGATTATCCTATATATATCGTTTTATACAATAATTAAAATTTAAATTTTATTTACCATTTGCAATTATATTTTGTCTAATTATATATTATTATATGTCGCAATATATGGAATTATATATATTCTGATGTGATTATATATATACAATATATATACATAAAATAAATACGGTGTAACTATTAAAAGTATTTTAATATTGAATATTATCATTATTAATGGATTTCTGAAAAATATTATATATATTTTTCAAAAATAAAATAATTTTATTACTTTTCGATATAATATATCAGAAATTTTAAATTGTAAATGGGATTTTAACATTTTATAAATCAATACCTGGCTGGTTTCTAATTCAATTGTATATTAAATTGTATATTAGTGATTCCCCACTAATATTCAATTTATCGCCTTATCAAGCTTACAAAGCTGTTGTTATCGATGCTCACGGTTCGTTTATAACTTCCAAACTTAGAGTATTTAACCATATAAATTTACTGCTTTTCCTCCAATAATATTTAGGTTAGGTTGCCACTATATCCTACTGTTCCACTTAAATCTGCTAACATTTTGTGTTGCAATAATGAACAAAAAAAATATTTAAATTGGAACAAATTAAAAGAAAAACAAACATTTTCATGACTAATACATTTTTTTATTTTATTAAAAATAAAATTAAATTTGAAAAATTCAAAAATTTATGCTTAGTATAATAATTGCTATCGTAGTTTTTTTTATTTGATTAAGCTTAATTTATATATTTTTCTTTTATGTGGGTTAATGGGTATTATTATGTAGTTTTTGCTATAGTAAATGAAAGTACTATTTACTATTTTATAAATAATAATAATTATAAGTACTGTTTATATTAACTTTTAGTTGAACATAATGCTTTAATAATACTAATTTGCTACTTACTACTTTCTATAAAGCAAAAAATTTCCAAACAAAACTAATTTTCAAAATTCCATGCTTATTAATAAGTTAGTTACAATATAAAGCTTAAAAGTATTTAATTTTTTCAACTAATTAAAATATAATAATAAATTAACACATTAATAATACAGTAGTATTGCTACTAATAGCAATTATAAATAAAAATATACCAATTTTAATTAATATCATATTTTTTTATTAATTATTATAATAAATATAGTTGATACTTTACCATTCGGTGGAGTTGGTTTTAGTGGTATGGGACGTTATCATGGAAAATATGGATTTGATACGTTCACACATAAAAAATCTTGCCTTGGAAAGGATTTGAAACCTTTAGGAGAATTGCTTGCTTCGTAAGTTATTTTTTATTTTTAAAATTTTTCTCTTACATATTAATATTTTTTTTAAATTATTTTTTTACAGTGGACGTTATCCTCCCTATTCAGATCGTAAAGCATCACTGCTTGGATTTCTGCTACGTAAACGTCGTCCATTCCCAAATTTATATTTATCATATATCATAACATTCGGTTTAGGTATTGGATTTGCATTCTTATTAAATCACTACTTACAGGTAAATATATTTTTGTATTTATTATGAAATCAATAGTGTAAGTTTTTATTTCATACACCGTGCCTTCTTGGAAAATCACATAAATTATTTTTTTTATAAAGGGTAAAATTTTTTCACGCACGTATTAGCAAAATCATAAAATTTATTGGGAGCCGGATTAGTCAAACGCATTTGCATCCAATACAAGTAATGAATATATTATATTGGTAAAAGGATTGGTTTCATATTTCTTACACTTTGCATATGGATATTTAAACACATTTACATATTATATTAATTTTGTTTTTGTTATTATTAAAAAAAAAAATTATTATTAATCTATATGTAAGCCTCAAAGCAATATGTTTGTGAATATAAAAATTATATAATTAAAAATGCTGAAAATAGCAATAATAATAAATAAATAAGTGTTATCATATATATCATATTAAAAATATCTTCATGTTTTATTTATACTTTTTTAATAGTTCAATTTTGATTTTTTTTTTCAGCGTGATAATAACTAATCATAAAAACAAATTGATCTTATTTAAAAACAAAAAAATATATTTTTTTTATTGTATTGTTGTATATTATTGTTATTTTATGTTAATTTTTTTATATTAAACCAAATAAAATTGTGTGATGTGTTATTGAAATGTGTTTTATTTATTAAAAATAAATATAAAGTAAATATTATTATTCCAAGCAGACTATAAATGCTATGAAACATTCAAGCATAAAAGTAGATAAAATTTCGCTAAGTAATATAAAATAATTAAATATGATATTTAATAAATTTTTTCAATAATTAACTTATTTTATAATAAATCATTTTATATGTATATCATCAACGTAACCAAGATATGTTATAGATAGAAAACAGACGCAACTCTCCAATACATAAAATCAGAAGAGCAAAAAGAATAAATTTTAGAGGAAGAATTTCCTCTAAAGAAAAATCAGAAAAGAATAGAAAGAACAGTGGCACTTGTCGACCTTGAAGACCAAGTGCCGTTCGCCACATCCAAAAGGGACTACACAAACAGATACCTGCGGGTTACAACAACAACAGAAGAATATGACATTCTACTAAAATAATAAATAACTTAACAATTATTCTATTAAATTTGTCTGTTATTGCCACATAATTGCATGAACATACATATTCTCAATACATTTGCTATTGATCCGTTATACTTAGAAGGGACCATTCTGCCTGGCACTTCTTTTCGTTATGAAATGTTACTATGATCACACTTTTAGAGGGAATCTTTGCCCACATACACTCTTAGTTATGCCTATGATAGATAGTTTATTATGTATATTTCAAATTAAATGAGTTTTAGACAATCAAACAAGCTCTTACAGTAAAGAACACAACATAGGTTTTATCACAAATTCATTGATGATTCAAATTGATGATTATACAAAGAAATATACATATATAAATAATAGTTATTTTTTAATTATTTTTATACTACACCACTATGTACTCTTTTCTACTGCAATGTTTCTACTTTCAATGTTTGAGTTATATGCTTGATATTTTATAGAAATTTTAAAATAGACGATAAATATTTATCGAAATTAGCAGCTCCATTCTGGCGTAGCTAGAATTTCTAAAGGAACTATATACCAAAAAAAATTCTTTTTAATAGCGTTTGTTCAAATCAATAAATTTCTGTATCCTAGCAATAATAAAGATGTACCACTTTATCTCATCCCTTGAATACGCCACTGAATTTAAGTTATCTTTTAAATTCATCTATATCTGGCTTATTATGCTGCCAAACAAAACTCAGATGGCTTAAAACTATTCTAACTAATGATGATTGCTCCTGAAACCCATTTCCTTACATAAATTAAAATAAAAGCTGGTTACTATAAGCCAGTGGAAAATTAATTAATATTAGATAACTACTTGCCGATTAGGGTACCATGCTTGAAGATTGAATTTTTCATCAAAATCATTTCTGTCGCTATTATGGAAAGGATGATAAGAGCTTTATTTTTGAAGATCTAAGTAAGTAACGCCTAAGTAAATCATTAGGATCACCGTTATAACCTAACCTAACTTGTATAAATACTAAGTATATTTAAACAGTTTTACGAGTTTTAATTCAATATTGCTCTCTTAACTATCCGCCTGATATAGCATGCAGTATGTTCATTTATCCTTACTTTTTTAGATTTTGGAAGTGTAAAGTTCTTTACAATCAATATTAATTGAAAAATAAAACAAAATGCTTAAATAATATTTATATTTATTAAAAATTGTTTAGTTATACCGTCTTACTTAATTTTAAATAATTTATCTACTATATTATTACATAAATATTTTTTTTCTGTATGAGTTTTTAGTATAACCCGTAGCCAAGCAAATTATTTCTTATAAAAGCATTTAAGTTTTAGTTTACAATTTTTTCTATTTTACTAAACTTTAAAAATATTTATTTTTGTTTTAATATATATACTTTTATTAGGTAAGTTGTCGATAATTACAGGAAAATGCTAAATTTAATGTGTATAAAAAGAAGGCACAAAAGTAATTGGATTGGATGAGATAAAAAAGAATAAAGTGATTTTGTGGGCGAATGGAAAATTGAAACTAGTTGTTTTTATCCATATTACACAATCCGTCCATTCAAAAATTTTATAATAAATAGATTGACTGGCTTAAGTTATTTAAAGATTGAGAACTATGTTATCAACTTTTAAAACTGCATGAAATTTAGCATTTTCCTTTTCATTTCTATGTTACAATTATATGTACTATTGCCATAAACAATATATTGTTAAAAACTAAACATTTAAAACTAAAAAATATGCTTTTGTTAAAAATTAAAATTATTTTATATAAGCTAACTTAATTTAAGCTAATTTCCAATTTCCACCGCAATGGCAGTATATCCAACGATTACACCAACTCTTCAATGCTGAGGTTTTTCCAATTTTTGCCATGCTATTTACACATCCACATCGGTTACATTTCTTAACAGGAGTCTTAATGCAACCCAAATTTATGTTATAAATTCCATCCTTTATACCGTTTTGAAAAACCACTTCATCATAATATACATCTTGTAAACCAACTGGCTCTTTATCAGTAGAAAATAATAATGGTTTCATCATTAATATATGTGTGTTAAGTAGTGTTGTGGATGGATGAAAGTTTTTTGATGGTATAAGAATTTGTGTTGAAAGAGTACTACATTCATCGATAAGCATTTCATCTGGATCGGAAGTATTTTGTGCTAACCGTGTTAGAAGTCTGAATAAAAGTGAAAGTACATCAGTATTCTCCACAGATTTTGTATAAATCGGTAAACACTGGGAGTTTAATAAGCCCCATATACGTATCATTACCAATAATTCCCTTATACTACTAATGGCAACAATATCTCTGCTAATATCATAGCCTTGTTTTTTCGTTTTTGATTTAATTACTTCTTCTGGTAGTTTTTTAAGTATAGTAAGTGCTAAATCAGTAACCCACTGTATAAGTTGTTGTAGACTTTGAAGAGTTAATGGCTCGACTGTAAAATCCTTGGCATCTAAATTAAATAGTACTTTATCAACATCAGCCAATGGTTCAGACAATGTAATTGCTAAATTATCCGCTGGACCTTTGTCATGACAACTCAAATCAGAAGGTCTTAATAGACTTTTGAACGTAATAGAAATAGCATGCAACATAATGAGATCATCAAAATCTTGTTGCTTTGATTGTATTCTGCACATATTACTCTTCAATGATAAAAAGTTTGAGTAGTAAAAATGTCTTGTAAATGCAGATTGTCTTGCAAAGTTTTCTGTTAATTTTTCAATTAATATATCCAAATTGAGCAAATTTAACATGAGCACATCACTTGCATCTATACCCGTCGTTATGCTGTACTCCAGTAGAGATAATTGCAGTGACAATGTATTATGCATAAAGTTTTTATCATGATGTGTATTAGGTATCTGTAGAGCATACAAATTTCCATAATTATCAAAAACAATTAAAATTTGATTTAGCCAAGTTACATCTCCAACTACAAATTTTCCTCCGACTTGTCGATCATCATTTAAGCGTTCGGAACCAATGGCAGAAATCTTTTTTAAACCAGGTTCTAAAATCTGTACAGTGTTATCTTTTAAAACTATGTATAATCGCACAAAATCGCATAATAATTTTGATATACACACGTCGCTAATCTCAGCAGCAAAAAATACCTTGGAAACACTTTCCCAAGCTTCCGTACATATAAAATCACCTTTATTCTTTTGTAAGACTCTGTGTACACTTTGAGGTTTTTTATTCAGATTCCACTGTTCCAATATATGTTTGCCTTCTGCACTACTGTAAGCAAGCCATATGATATCATCGTTGTTTATTTTCGCCCAACGTACATGATTTATACTCTTCGGTTCAGTTGTTAAATAAAATAAATTTAAATAAGACTCACACTTTATGTTTATACTGTCATCACTTTTCACCGCCAGGCTTACTTTAAAGCAATGGAGTAGATGTTCTTTGGCACCATAGCTAATAGCGATATTAAAGTACCCACTGGAACAGTGAGATATACTACTAGTAGCTATAAATTTCCGTGATAAGCCGATACTTTGCGTTGTTACATTCAATTCGAGAGTTGGTTGACTGACAGCGTTTTCTCCATAATGGTTGAGTTTTGGTATGATAAATGCACCAAGTAGTCCCGAAGATGTTAATATTAGACAACCTTCATGGAACGAACTGCCAAATTGAGTTAAGCTCGGACGATAGTCACTGCGTTCAAATTTGTCAGTATAAATTGGCATATCCCGTTTTAATGTATTAAAATACGTAGCCTTTCCATTGTGAAAAAACTTACAATCTAAAATTTCTTCATTCGACAGCAAAGCCTTATATACGAGACTCCAGGAATTGAGCACTTGGTTATGTGGGGACCATATTTCAATTTCACCACTTCGATAACCAATAACAAGTAATTCACCGGTAGCATTCCATTCCAAAATGTTTACTTCGGATTTTGAGCAAGTCACTTTAAAGAAATGCCACGGTGAAATAATATCGCACACGAATACATAATTGCTGGTACCGAAATATGGAGCATCTTGCGAAATGCAAAAAGCCACAATATTTTTTGATGATGTTTTACATATTACTCTTTTATTAAACAAATTTCCATCTTTAAATTTATTGTTTTGTACTTTGAATAAGACGCTCATTTTATCACGAACCTGCCAAACTGAAAAGCAAAACAATACTGATACCTAGGTATGTACGCGAGTATTCATTTTGCAAAAAAATATGTACAGCGGCTATGACATTACGAAAGACACTAGAGAGGATGCCGCCATAGCCTAAAAAAATTTTTCAAAGTAATTGATAACATAGAATACGTATATTCTAAAATTTTTCTGTAATAATAGGTCTATTCCTCGAGTAGTAAAACTCAAGTAAAATACAAGTAAAGTACAAACTGAAAGCGTAATACAAATAAAGTGCCAAATTACGCTCTTTACACAGATTTTTATGGAACATTTTTGTGTAAACTCTGGTGAGAACACCAGTTACACCCAAATAAATAATACAAAAATTTAAACTCAAACCAAAACAGTTGATTCCCACATCAAACAAATTTTACTTGAAATAAAATGTACGAGTAAAGTCTGTGAAGCATTTTCAAATTTCGACAGGTATGTTACGCTCTCTTAGATGCTCTCATTTATTCGAAAATTTGCTTAATGTACGCACTTGTGTATACACAGTGTTACTCAAACTTACTACGAGTAGCTCGTGGAACAGACTTATAACATGTAAAATAAAAATCATTTTTTATAATTTGTGTAATATGTGAATCATTGTATCGTTTATTTGCACTCTGGCTCTGGTGTTCTTACCAGATTTTACGCAAAGCTGTTCCATGAGAGTAATTTGGCATATTATTTGTGTTGCGCTCTCAGATGTTACTTTACTTGAATATTACTCGAGTTTTACTATAAGTAGCTGGAACAGGCCTTATATCGTTTGCTTTTATTTAATTCAATTTTAATAAATTTAAGTCTTAACTCTTCTTTTTTTTAATGTAGAAGTAAACAGCTGTAAATAACGACCCTGTTCATAATGCAGTTTTATTACCCATTGAAGAAAACAAATATCAAAATAGTTTTTATTGTGCCAAACGCATGTAATTATAAACATTTGTCGGCTTTTTTTGTTGTTAGAGATGCGTAAATACCAGCAACTTTTGTTATTGTTGATATCTATAATTAGTATAATTATACTTGTTGTATATAGAAACG